TCTCACTCCTACACTTTTACACAAGCAGAAGTGTATCTAAAAGCCATTAGCATCTTTCCACTTGTTTATGTGCCCTGAGGAGACTCAGGGATACAGCCTATAGACTTGAGTAGATTTAAAGTAGAAGGGTATAAAGTGTCAGTCTTGTTGTGAGCCCTTTTTCTTGCCAGAGAAAGACCTCTGCTCTCTCTGAAGCCAGTAGGCAGTATTTTGCTGTGGCAGTGCACCCTTATCTGAGCTTGAGGTCTGTACTTTAATGGGCTTTATTGATCTAAACAACATCAGGGGTTGCGGTGATGTTATTAAGGCAGAGATAACTTCTGTGTAATTCCACTCCAACAATATATTAGCCTTTTATTGGTCTAAATAACTTTGGCTTTTAGACAGTAATGCACTAGTAAGTCACAGCGGCTCTTCATGTCGGCAGGATCTTAATAAAGCATTTCCTCTGGACATCCTGCTGCGGAGAGAGTGAAAAACGACAGGTTAAAAGGCATGCTGGGAAGTTTCCATGCCATCACTGTAAATGATCTCTTTTGAATACATAAATAAAGTCAGACAAGAGCCGCCAACGGGAAGGGGGTGGTTTGTACACATGTGGCCCAGATCTCTTGCATTCTCACACCAGAATCTCACACAAATCTCATTGGTTCATACTCATGCATAGCTTATGTAGACATATATATTCAAAAAACATTCAGTCATTAAGATCAATTATTTTTTTTTTTTTTCAAACTGTCTGTTTAAAAAAGACATATCATATGCAGTGGCACACACAAACTCTTCCTGCTTAGATAAAGAAATTAGCTCTTTATATCAGGATTTTCCAGATACATATATGCAAAAACTAAATCCAATATCATTTTTGATTGCACAAATATATTGTCCATCTCTACTTTACTCTACCTGTGTTCATGTACCAATGAGAAAATAGTATTGAAAAATGTGAATATCTGAAATATCCTGGCATCTTGTATAGAAAATATATTAAAGCAACTGAAATGGTCACAGTTAACTCTGTCTCTAATGACTCTGTCCTTATAATGTCCTTATTTAACCCAGTTGTTTAGTTAAGCCCTTATGATTCCTTGTGGGACAACCATTATACAATGTCTAATATACTCATCAATTACAGTATATTTACAATGGAGAAAGTACAACTATTTCTACATCTAGTAAGTGTTTGTTTCCCAACAATAATAATGTTGTTTTTTTTTACTTGAGAGCAGCACACATTTAAAATGAATATAAGTCAGCTAGCTCTTACTGTGCATGTATTTCCTCCAGGCGGGGGACAGGCATTCATCATTTACATGCTATATAAAGCCATGCTTTTGGTAATGAATTATTTTGTCATCTCACTGTGATGAGATTCATCTTTAATAACTGTAACAATTATTTTATTAAAAAGAGAAGCCGTGCATTATGGCTATCTGGCTGAGGTCTCGAGCTGGAAGGAATTCTCATTAAGAGCATTATATTAGCCCGGTGTGCCTTCACTTTGGCGTCCTGCTCAAATTACATTAGGTGTCAACAATGTTTGTGTTAAAACTAAGGAGCCATATTTACTGGGGCTAACTTTTTCATTTGCAGCCTGACAACTAGAGATGTATTAAAAAGATACTAATGCGTTGCACACAAGCCCTTTGAGAATGTTCACTTTTAATTGTACATTAACAGTGGCTCTCTGTGTGTGGAAGGAAATGTGTTGTGTTGTTGTGTTTATTTTAGTGAAACAGTTCAGTAATTTAATGAACTTATTTATGGTTTAGTTTCAGTATTATCACTTATGGTCTATACTTCAGCAATATATTGCACTTCAGAATTTGTTATCATGACAACCCAACCCATGTGTCATTCCCAGCAGCAAGCTCAATATCAAATATAAGTATCAATATTGGACCATCCCTAATATTTATTAGTTAAAATCCCCACCTTTTTTTAGAATTGTGATGTGTACCGCATTGCTATGACTTTGCTGTCCTGATTGTCACACAGTGCGTTACATTGTGTTTTAATGGTTGCAGGCCCTGGGTTGCTGTTAATGACATGCTTGTAATTGTTTGTCAGGGCGTTAATGTGCGATTTCCTATTTCCATGTGAAGTTGGATATTTGATGAAGGAGGATTCTCGTCAGGAAGACAAAGTGCTGTCATTTGTCACTGGCTAAATGAGCTCCTCTCCTACATCCTTTTGGGTTTGAGCCCAGATATTATTTTCACACCTCTGATTTACAGTCTTTCTTCTGGTCAGCTCTGTGGTTAGTGTATGTGGACAAAACACAAAAACAGACAACACTTTTAGAGATTTAGTTGAAACCCAGTGGGAGGAGTGTGTTTCCTCATGTCAAGGTTGTGTTGTGTTTGTTGTTTGCTGACAACAAGAAATGTGTTAACTGTATTTCACAAAAGACAGAAGTGAAATTAAAGTTTGGTAATCTGTTATTCTTAGGTTTTGTGAGGACTCATCACTTCCCCAAATGTACACTTTTTAACAGTTTTCAGAAGAATGGCTGTTCAGAGCACTGCATACATGTTTTTTTAATATTTATATTTTATTTTTTGTCATTTTTGGTTTATTTTTCAAGTTTAGAATTAAGGTTGATTTCAAGAAGTGTAAAAATGTATTTTCCTAATATGACAGATATTCTATGTGAGCTTAATAATTGCAGCCAGTGAAAGGCATCATTGAGTGTTTTCCCTGACACTTAACCAAGTCGTCTGTTCTTGATTAGTTCGATTCCATATTGTGGGTCTGGGAGCAGCTCCTTCGCCCTTAATCATCTAATGAGCTAAACAAGCCCAACAAAGGACAGCTTTAGTGAATGAGTCTCTAGAGGAGGCTACTTATTGTGACCATTGGCCCGGTGTCTTTTCTCCCTCCATATCGATCGGTTAAGCTGGCTCCCTTTTAGCACACATGTTGTATAGTCTCTGTGTTCTTCATATTACCTGCTGTTTAACGTTGATATTTCTCTTCAAGGACAAATGGTACAGGAAAGGCAGATCCCATGTGAAGTCCCAGAGCTCTCAGCGAGTGGCAGATCCCTGTTCAACGCCAGCTGTTCTCTCAGATATACCAGGCCGTGCTCAAATTCTCTTAATATAATTCTGGGGGCTCAGGAGAGTAGTGCAAAACAAGCGTGCCAGCGAGGAGAAGGTTGAATTTTTCATCAGTGGGCCTCAACTCGCTGAGTTAGTGGGCAGTGCTCTCATTCATGAGCAGATGTTCAGCGCACTTACACTCTGCAGTTAATGTGAACTTACTGGCCTCTCTGCCATTGGCTGCAAGGACGTTGGCAGCAGTGTGGCATCAGAGACTTCCTCTCAGCTAAAGGAGCAGGCCTGAAGCACGAGCCTGGCCTTTGTGAGCCGCTCCTCAGCCCAGGAGCTGGATCTGAACAGAGAAAGCTCTGACAGCTCATCCGTCTTCACACAGACAGTGATGAAACACCAGCCACTGTTTGGGCTGGGATTAGCAACTGATTTTCTACTTTTACATTTAGTTTGGTATGACTGGCCTTACACAAGCTAATTCACTGTGAAGGGATTGAATGAAAAAGTATTACAGGAAACTCACTTACAAAATATACCATTTGTAGTTATAATTTAGTAACATGGCTATTAATATTCAATTTGCCTGGCACATAAAATAAACACTACATTGTGTAAAGAAATCTCTTGCAATAAGCAGAAATGAATTCTGTAAAATCCCTGCCTGTCCTATACCATGCTTCTCATAAGACTTTGGTTGTTGGTTTCTGAAGAGTTGCTAATGTGAGAGGAAATAGTGGCACCTGAAACCCAGATCTGCCCAAAGGTGCCCACAGTGCGGCCTGTTGGTGCGGAGCTGCCACATGGTCCTGGCGTCTCCTCAGACATCTGCACAGCCAGTGTGCTCAGGCCCAGTTTGATGTGGTCATTCTGCTCTCTAATAGTTTCCTTCGTCTGCTGACTTTCTGATGTAAAACTGGTCTGATGGTGTACTGTACATGCACAGAGTTCAGCAGGCATGCTGCCAATCATGGAGTGTGTGGCAAAGTCACTGCTGTAAAGTGGCTCTTGTGGGACTTCAACAGTGGATATGACATGTTCTTGTTTCCTCAGTACATCTCATTTTCACTTTCTAATTGGTCGTTTTCAGGTTGGCTTTATGTGAGCAAAACTAATTAGTGTTTCTAAATTCAGCAGAAAAGGCAGTCAGTGTGATTGTTCTGGTTTCCTCTGTCATGTAGTGCAACAATAAAATAAGGCTCAAATCATTTTCAAATTGCTCACATTTCCAAAGTGCAGGCCTGAATGTCAGTCGGTCTCTTGGCATTTTGTTTGGCATGCGGAGGGAACAGTGGCTGCCCTCTCTTTGTGCTTTGTGGGAAGTTTGAACTTGACCGGTGGAAAAAAACAACAATGTGTTGTGTTTTAGGTGGGGTTGTTTCTGCTTTGATTGGGAACGTCCTGCTGACAGGAGTGGTGCAGCAAGTTTACAGTAGCTGTGACATTGCTGTTACCTTTATTCAAAGAGCTCCAGCTGCAGCGAGCCCTCCGGAAGCCCAGGCAAGCCCACATGAGAGAGCAGAGCCTGCCCTGTTTGAGTTGGCACATGTTCCCCTCTGGGGTAACTTTTGCTGCCTCTGCAGAAAGGCCAGTGGCCACGGCTCCATGCTCACGGCAGGATGGGCTTTTTCCACCTCTCGTCCTGTTCAGGAAACACATTTCGCTGTCTCTTTCCTCTCTGTTTGTGAAAGGAGGGAAGACGCTAAGGCAGAGGGCCATAGGGCAATCACTGAATGACAGACAGTGTCTGGGAAAAGCTTCACTCCTGAGTTAAAAAGTCATTGTGAAATCTAGTGTTATTTTATTATTTTCTCACCTTCACTGGGACAGTTATTAAAAGTGCTCAAAACTTACACTGATTTGAGTGGTGTGAATAAGTAATATGTTTATTTCCAGACTTCTCACAGCTCATACTAATCTTTTGTCTCCTGTGCTTTGTGTGTCCAGGAGACTGCAGCGGTGCCATCCTGTGGAGCAACACATCACTGTAAGTCACACGGGACCGGCTCTGTGCTGTTGAGTCCAACTTAACTTTGAGGAGGTTTAAATTGTGAAATTTTTAAGAGATCTCAATTTTACTCATTAAATAATTTCCAATTTACTGTGGAACCCATGTTTTTTTTCCTGATTTCAAAGTATATATTCACCATGTAACTTGGAGCAAAGATTTATGTTGGCCTTTGATACTACTCATTTAATTCCCCAGCTGACCCCTCCATAGGAACTTTGAGCTGGAGAGTAAAGAGCAGTGCAGATAGCCTGTGTGTGTCCCCGACTATCCTAGAAGTCATTACTCCTTGTGTGGTGTATAAACATGTCAAAAACAAACAATGACCCTGGCAGACAGCACACAGCAAAACAATTTCAAAGGCTGCTGTGTGGTGTAAACACAAAACAGGCTCACCTTTGTGCAGCCAAGCCCCTGCTTCAAGCTAACATTAGTTTCACTGCCCCTGTCAACCTCTCTCTGATGGAGTGCACATCTTTTTGGTTATGATCTGGTAGATGGGTTTCTTTTTTTTTTCTTTAAAGACCTAAGTAGAACACTGCTGTGCTATAGGCCAGCTTAAAGGGCCTGTACCTGAAATAGTCTTGCCCCACTTCAAATATATGTATTATAGTATATATACGGTTATTATGTTTTATTGTCCAAGAATAAGGAAGTCTGTGGTTAGCATGGTAGTTGTTGTTAGCATTAATGCTCTGGCCTCTGAAGGTTGTAAAATGCCCTCATAAACTTATTGTGGTGAATAATTAAATAATGATGAATAACTTTGACCTGTTGCAAACCGTTGATGAACTGATGAAATGAACTAGTTCTGTTTTTAAGTTTTGTTCACCATCATAGTAGGGATTGGTTCAAATTATCTTGTTTGTTTATGCTGATGTTGTTTCTTTCTAAAAACATTACAGTCCACTGATCAAAGTCCAGTTCTACTTACCACTATTACTACTAATATCGTCTAAAGAAACTGTGGATAGTGGATATTCATATTTTGGCCCCTGTACTCTTGTATTTGCCTCTGTGAGCCCCTTCACACTGAGAGGGCCTGGCAGTAGGCCGCTCCACACTGGTGCATGTAATAAAGCCCAGCTGCTGAATGATCAAATAGTGTCTAATTAAAGCCTGAGTGTACAGCCATGTAAAGTTCTCTGTGGAATGCTAACAACCTGTGATATTTCCAGAGGAATTTGGTGTGCGCAGGTCTCAAAGAAGAAGCTTCAATCGGATAGACAGAGGGAGAGAGAGTGAGAGAGGAGGGGCAGGCCAGCATGTTGTTCACATCCGTGTCAGATTGAGGCTAATGAAGGCCAGACTGATCCTTGGATGCGAGCCTTAAGTAAATGATCCCTCTTTGAATATATTAGAGTCCCAGAGCAGTGCTGTGCCTCCCTGCAGAGCCAGCCCTGCTACAGAGTGTGGCTCATGCTCTGACAAGGCTGCAATGGCAAGACAGAAGTCACACTGTTTGTACTTTCTGTATGTCTGTGATACTGTTACAGATGATTTGTATCTGTTTGAAATAGACATAACTACTTACACTCACTGTCTGACTACTACTTAGTGACTTGCCAGCAGATGGAGTAAGATTTCTCAAACGTTACACATTTGTGCCATAGAGCCTATTACATTTTAGCATGTGTAGTAAGGTGGAACAGTGTGGATCTGTGTCCGGACAGTTTCCTGGTGACTGTTAGTGCCATTTTGATAGTAAATGGAAAATCTGAGTGTTGATGTAAATGAAGCCATCTCACTTTTCCCCTCCCTCTTCAAAAGAGAAAGCATTTACATAACAGGCTGGGAATTGATGCTTATGTAAATTTGACACCTTTTTGCAGTTTGTATGAAGAATCATGTAGTTGTGCGATTTTTCATATGATTTTGGAGAGGGATTCTTTAAACAAAAGCCACTCTTAGTACTTAGTATGGACAAATGTTGGCACAAAAGCATGCAAATGACTCCTGTTATAAGGCACTTTTAATATGGACTGGAGAGACAAGCACAAAGGAAGAAAGTAGTTGTAAATGCATCCGTTAAGCTTGTGTAATATCTCGTTAATACATACCTTTGTGGCTCTTTAGTGCTGCGCTTGCCTTGCACTGAGTGGAACAATGTCATTTGGTTTTTGCTGATGGAGCATGTGTACTTCATAGATGGATGGATTGGATGGATCCAATTAGCTATGGTCATCGCTCAAAGATATAAGCTGACAGTAAGAGTCTTGCAGAGAATCTCCTTGATTTTGGTGGTTTTGCGGAATGCTCTAACCCAGGCCTTTAAAAGCCCATAAAGAGCACATTGTGAAGAATACAGCGCTGATGGACTTTTGATTTATGCTCAAGCAAATTTTCTCAATTAGACAAAGAAGAGGATTAATTGATTTTCAATCTACCACATACAGCAATAGGACATTCTTTATTACACACATTATTTAATGTGTTTTTGTGACCCATGGTCTTCAATTTTAGATGTGCTGGTGTTTTTGGTATTGCTTATAAAATGGACCAATTCATGTTTAAATTAATGTGTAATATATTATAGTCTTTATTTATTTGTTTGTTTATTTGTTTGTCTGTTATTTAGTTTAGTTTAGTTTAGTTTAGCTTAGTTTTAGTTTAGTCAACTTTTGGAGCATATACTGCACCCATAGACTGTATAAAAAAAAAAAGTGGAGACTGAGTGTGACATCACCCATAGCGTTCAACTCCACTCAAATGAAGCTCCCGATCTCAATGGTTACAAGAGCGAATTTGGAGACAGTCTCCATATTTGGAAATCTGACCACAAATATAGCAACCACATGTGCAAATTATGATTGAGGTCATTAAATGTGCCCGCCCTTCTCACTGGAAAGCAATAAGGAGGCTTACTTAGCAACGAAACGCACTAGCTGTCAATCAAACATGTTTCTGACGCTAGCGGGAGCAACCTTGGGGAATGAAGGCATCTGATTGGAGGCGACAAGATCTCAATATAAATTGAGATCTTGAGATCTCAATTGGAGCTGGAAGAGCCGCTTGGCGCACTTCCTGTTTGGAATGTGGTGGCTAGAACGCAGCATTAGCTATGTCCATTCATATATACAGTCTATGACTTAAAGACTGATTGTCTTCTTGGAGATGTTCCACAATATGGCATTAAACAAATCTATCTAGCATTTATTTTATTATGGGTGTTTTATTGTTCAAAAATGCCTTGAAAAACTTAGTGTGAGGGGGGGGCACCTCTCTAGAGATCTGACCTGTAACTTGGCCTGGTGGTGCCACCTGCATGTCTCATGGAGAAAGATAAAATGTGCTGTACTATGACAAAGCAACAGGTGATGTACCCTACACTCACACTGCATCTTTGCATCAACTTTGATCTTATTATTTGCATGATTACATGCACATTTTGTACGATTTGTTGAGTGCGTTACCTATACGACTCTGTTGATTCTTGTTGCTAGAGGTGCGTTGCACAACATTTCTGGTCAACGGTTCACTACCTACTTGTCTCCATGGAGATGCTATTGCTTGGTCTGAAATAGTCCATGTTATGACATTAAACATATCCATCTTAACATTTATTCATTATGGATGTCTATTGCTTAAAAATATAATAATTCCTTCTGTGGATAGGGGTGACTCTCCACAGATCTGAATAATAATGTAGAATAGTTCAGAAACCTGCATGTCTCCCTCCTGACAGGTTAGTTTAATTTATACTGTGCAACATTCTAGATAAAGCAATATTTTTTCCATGGAGATAAGCAGGTGGCACACACTCCACTACAAATGTTGCACAATGCACCTTAAAGCATGAGTCCTATTTGTCAACAGCAGCACGTGTCCTGTTCATTGCCACTCATAGACTCACAGCACACAGTCTGACAGGCAGCACATGTGTCAGGCCGAGCCCAGTCAAACACACGCTTACACACATCAGACGCGTTGTGTGACGAGGCGGGGACACGGCACGCTGCTGCCACACCAGACAAGCATCGCCTCTGCTGCTCCCAGCTCTGTGTCTGTGAGAGGACAGGCCGCGCTGACACTAAAGGCACTTTGTCATGCGAGCTCTCGTCACATGTACGCTGTGCATTCAAAGAGCGTCAGATCAGCGCTGTGACAGGTAGACCACAAATGACACGAGCGCCAGAGGGGGTGTCCTTTTCAATACACAGCATGAGTACAAATGCTCACTGCGCCAAGACAAAATAACATCAGATAGCATCATTCTGAATGCTCTTATGTTGTCTGTCTTTGCTCTGAAAAGTGGTTAGCAATACAAGCTTGTTTTAGTGCTGCTAAGCATCAGAGCACAGGGAATTGCATGAGACAAGGACCTCATGGTGTGAGTTACTTCAATGTTTTCAACTTGTTGTGCATGTCAACAACATTACATCAACAAACAACATGTGTTTTCCATATGTATGCAATATACATACAATGTACCAATTTAGAAACATTTATTTTTAAATATGCAATTGCAGAAGTAAAAAAAATAAAAAATGTTGTGGAAATTCTCATTACATCATAAGGAAGCACTAATAAGTTAGGTTAGGTTCTTTACAAAAGAACAAGAATTGTCTGAAGACCAAATGATACCGGGACATACTAGTACCAATTTGATAATAACTATAACTAAAATGTTTGCTGTCATAATGAGGTGCTTAATGTATAGGAGGACCAGTTAAACATGTTGGATACTGTTAATTCAAAGGTGATGCTGCCCCCCACATGTTTACCAGCCCATAACCACATAAGTGTTTGTAGCTCTGGTGTAATTGAGCGATTTTCCCGGAGGCAGCAGTCCTCCACACTAAGTTACATCCCAACTTTCCATTAAAGTATCAGGGGAAGTTTGCCTGATAGGAATCACTCACAGCATTACCACTATGTAAATACAGCTTATCAGTGTGCCAATTTGTTTTAAGTGGCATACTACATGTGGGTGATTCACCAGCCTCTGACTTGTACCGTATACATTTTAGAGCCCCTAT